TTGGTTTCCGCGAAGTTTTTGCTGAGTTTTGCAAGCTTCGAGGAGTCCAGTGATGAAATTTGGCATGCGGCTCTGCGACTGGATGACGAGAAATTAAATTTTGGGCATAGGATGACCGGCAAATTTTTATTTTAAGTTTTAAAATTAAAGTTAAGAAACTTTCGAAACGGAAATATTTATTTCATAATTAATTTATTAATTTTCGAAGGTGGTCGGAACCGCCATCCTGCTCCTGATGGTGTCGGCGATCACCGACGGGAGGAACATGGAGGTGAGCAAGGGGATGGTGCCGCTGTACGTGGGGGCGACGGTGGCGGGGGTCGGGATGGCGTACGGGTGGAACTGCAATTACTCCATCAACCCGGCCAAGGACATGGGGCCGAGGCTCTTCACGGCGGTGGCCGGGTGGGGCACGGGGGTCTTCGAACACGGGGCCGGGTGAGGGGCAGGTGTTTTTTCTGGGTGTTTCTTGTGGGTGCTTTCGGATGCAATGGGGATTTTTTTTTTCCGCGGGACTCAAATTTGCATTTCTGCAAAAAGTATTTCTGAAAAAAAATTATTTGCGAATTCCACCTGCAATTCGGGACTTAGAAAAACGGAGTGATACGGCTATTTGCAAATTCAAGTTTTTTTTTTAAATTGGGTTTCATGACTGAAATGGGAGGAAGTGATTTCCTCATCACGCGAGGAATAGTTTTGCAAAAAAAATATCGACTGTGTTGCCTAATGTCGTACCAGTCGAAAGCCGTGTTGCCGAATGTCGATTCTCTCATCCGAATTTAGCGTTCACTGATTGATCTTCTCGAACATTAATCACTTTCTCGCCGGCGTGTCACATCCAAGCGGTTCACCAGTGACGTCATTTCGAATCAGGCCGCCTTTCTTCGAGTGATGTATCAACGGATGCATCAATGGATGCATCAATGGATGCATCGCGCCGTCATCCTGCTCGTTAATGAAAATCTCATAATCGAAATATCGACACCGATGAATTATCGGTTATCGCTGTGCCCCATAAAATATTTTCAGCGAACTCGACTCGCAGAAAAATCCCTCCCTTTTTCCGCGCAATTGTACGTTTTGGCAATCGGCAATTTTTCCGCAATCCTCAGGGACCTGCAGAACTTCTGGTGGATCCCGTTGTTGGCCCCCCACGTCGGCGGGGTCCTCGGGGCCTCGCTCTACATGCTCTTCGTCGGACTGCACTGGCCCGACGACCGATACGACGTCACCGCAGGTAAATGATGGTAGTAAGTGGTAAATAGTGATAAAATTCTCATGTGGCAATTTCAAAATTACCATATGAGAATTTTAAGGAATGTGAAAATATCTAGAAATATATATAATTTTTTTTAAAAGTAAAGATCAGTAAAAATCGACAATAAAGAAATGAAAATAATAAAAATCGAAGATAAATTTCTCGAAGTTTTTAATTTAGAGTTTCCCTCAATTTAAATTTATGGGTGGAAGAACTCTAGGTTGCAAAAAAAAAATTGTCTGGAGCGTCTGACCTCGGAAGAATGAAACAAGGTCATCTGAGGGGAATGATTAAAACGGCTATCGCGCGAGAGGACGTTAGAGGCACTGCTGCGTCTCCCAAAGCGTTAGCAAGGTTTTAGACGATTCTTAACGGTTTTCGAGAATTTTCAAGGGTATTTCATTTTTTGGAAGACGGAGACCCGAGCAAGATTCCGTGGGAGAGGCCTTCGTGAAGGACCAAAGGACCACGGAGGTGAGGTCCTTGATGTGTTCCTGGTCGTCACATGTGACGGTGACGTCACATCTGACGATAGTTGCACTTCGTGGTGACGTTCGTGAAAAATGGAACTAGAGGGTCGACGGTGGACAACGTTAGCCTCTAACGTCGAATCGTCTCGAGTGATAGCCATTTTAATCATTCGCAAATATGCACTTCAAACAATTTTGCAATTTGTGTCAATCTGAAAGGAGCAAGTTGTGCTAATTTTCTTAAATCTCTTTCCGTAGGAACGTGACCGGAGGAAGCTGGCTCTCATATGTCACGTGATTGTCTTCATAGTGTCTATCGAATATTTTTGTAAAGAGATTTTGGAGAAACCGAAAAATGCAAGTCGTTGCGCAAGGGTGGCTGCCGGGTCCTTGTCTCGAATCTTCGGATCTTCGGAGAACGAGTTGAAAAATATTACTTATTGCATAAATCACCAAGCGCCTGGGACGGGGTGTCTCGAAACGAGGGTTGCCCTCGTCCGAGCCGTTCGGCGATCATAAACTGAAATTTTTTCGTGTGGTGGGTCTCATAGTTTATGCAGGAGTACTGTCAAGGGGCATCACAGGAGTTAACGGGCGGTCGTGATTTTGTCAAACGCTGTCTTTCAAGGGCATCAATTAAATCGGGTGTAGCGTGCTACAAGGGACGAGAAAAATAATTTCCTTTAAATTAATGGCGAGAATCCTTCTCTGCCTCAACACAAGCAAAAATTGCATTGTCAATCTGCAATTTTCCGAGCCTCCCGCCACGACGTGAAACATCTTGAAGAAAACCAAAGAAAAAGAAGAGGTGCAAATTGCATGGCAGGCTGCAGGGTTTGGCTCAAATTCACTGGTTAGTATCTTTTTCTCGCTCGAAATTAATCAGCTGAATAGCGGGAAGCATAAACTCGTATGTTTCCCAAAAACTACCTACGCAACTTTGGAATGAAAGTCTTGGATGCACCACAGGAAATATCACATATGAAATCTCCTAAGGTTGTAATGACATTTTTTATTCCAAAAATCATCCTGATTGCCAAACAAACAATAAAAAAACCACCACAGACCTAAAATAAACACTGGGTCACCATTCATAAATAACTTTTAACAAAAGACGATACCGATAAAATCTCTGACCCGAGAAGCCTCAGATGAGGGGGTTGGAAGGTGGAGGTACGTGGGCCACGGAAGAGAGTGGGAACGGCCCATCTGTCCATTTGATGAGGGAGTGCTCAGGGAGCTTGGATGCATCGATATGGTCCTGCAGGAGCTTCGACGAGAACGAGGACATCATCTGCGATGCTTCCATCGCTCGGTTCGGGTTCTGGCACACCGTGTAGAGATCTGTGCAGACGGAACGGTGTCGTGAGATCGTGACGATGCTGCGACGTGGGCATTCCAGAAACATCTCAATGCAACACAACTGCACGATTTTTATCCATGGTTTTACGATCCCATTAGGATATTTCTGCTTTGCATCTACTTTCAGGACAAGAAATGACTTCCCGCATAGGAACAGCTAAATTGCAAAAATAATCCACTGGCACTACCAAGAGTAATTGTGCCCTCTCTTTATTTACACACAGACACAATTCCAATCCTAAGGGGTGCTTCACCCCCTGCATTGCTCAATCCAAGTAAAAACTGCAATAAGCATTCACAGAATATGGATATGAAATCCCTTTCCCTTGTTTATTGCAAAAGCAAACATGGGGAGTGGGAATAGGCCCTTCTCTAAGCTGCTGCATCTATCAAGACTACTTAAAGTCAATGGGCATACACCTGTTTTCTAGCTTTACTTGTGGATTCTTCAGCATTGATGACTCCTTCAGTGGAAAGCTAACACAACCCACTCCACCACATCCTTGCAGCAACTAATACAGTACCATTATTTAGAACAAAATGAGTACCTATCAACACAAGACGATTCCAGAAAGGTATGCATTCTGAATATTCAGTACCGACAAAATTTGCAAAAGTACTGTTATACCTCAGGTGGATGCAGATGCACTGCCCAACTCACCATTTACTTCAGATGATCATGAATATACCCATAGGGTGCTGAAACTATGGCTGCCGTAATAATGCATAGAAAGACGAATGACCCAGGAATCGGGCCTATCGTGTGCAATTCACAGAAGAATAAGCGGGGAAAGGGCAGCGGGACAAACCTTTGAGTATGGCAGAGGCCCAGAGCTGGACGTGGTCGTCGGGGATCTTGGAGGCGAGGTGCATGGCCGGTGTCACCATGTTCAAGCTCTCCTGACTGTTCCCCTGTGCTAGAAATATGTGGCCCAGCAGTACAAGGGAGATACTCATCAGACGGTTGAAGTCCTCCGTGTTCGCCATCTTCAGGGTCTCCCTCAGGAACCGTCTGCACGTTCCGATTCAGTCCGATGTCATGATACGATCAACCTCATATCTGAACTCAAATCCATTGATAAGATGGATGCACTTATAAAAAAATTTGCTATCATGGTAAGCATGAAATGCAGAAGAGTTATTTCAAAGAACTCTAGCCCATATACTGTGCCCTCACAGTCTTATAAGTGTCATAAACTGTAATGGTTCAGTTTTTGTACAAGACCACAAGTTGATGAAGACATTTAGTCATTACAATGACCAATAGGAGACCTTTCTTTGACAGTGCACCCTAATGGAAGTCAGGGGACTTTAACAATGCCAAGACCCTCCATTCAAACAATATAAACAATAAAAAATGAATCAACATCAATACCTGATAAGCACAAAAAATATGAGCCTGAAAGTCCCTTTTGTTACCATGGGGTCCAGAACAAAGATAATTGGCATTGTTTCAAGATGAAGGCTAATGCAGTAGTGACAATAAACACCTTTGAAGGATTGATTTTTATCTTCCTTGATAGGAGAAATAAGTTATGCAGAACACAAATCACGAGAATTAATGTTGAGAGTTCAAATTTTACACCAATCTCCAACATACCTAAACCTAATATTCAACTAAAGTGGAGATATTTGATACAGGCCAAAGAAGGTGTAGCATGAGGGGAAACAGACTTGGCCTCCTGGTGGTGGTTGGCAAAGAAGGCACGGAGCCCCTGGACGTAATAGGCGGCGGCTCGGAGGCTGTCGGACATGCTCGGCAGCTGCTCCGGGTCGATGCGTGACTGGAGGGCGAGGAACTCGTGCTCCCGCTTCCCGCGCAGGTACACGATCCCCAGGTTTAGATTCACAAACGTCCACAGCTCCTGGTTCCGAGATGTCTGCGAGAAATTCATAACATGCTATAACCAAAAATATTATCATATTTCCAAAGTATTTCACAAGAAGGAGTCATAATTCTAAACCTCTTGGCTTGCTAGCCTTTCTCATGTATACAGTTCCCAAAGAAAGAGCCAATAATGAACTACTTCCACACTCATCAATACTCTTGATCCCAAGGTACAAATAAGTCAACTTATTGCACATTTTTATAGCATGGGCTCACTTTGCAAATTTGCCTACAAGATTCTGCTGACTGGAGCTGTTCACAGAAACATATACTTGGTATTCATTTCATATCATTCTTAAAAAGGTGCAAATGACACCTGAATGCCTACTTAGTAAAATAATGTCAAGAAATTAATTCCAGAACACTTCTCATTTAGCAATATTAAATACAGATTTATGAAAGTATTGAATACAGAAGAGGCCAAGGCAGACTTGCTCCAGAAAGTCCATTTTCAACACTCCCAAAGGTAATCTCAAACTCCCATCAATCAAACCAAAAAATCCAACTAAGAAGAAAACACATACTACAAGCTTGAAACTCTTGCAAATTACTACAATGGGAAATGAAGAGGAGATCCCACTGTCGACTCACCCTCAGCGCTATCACGAACTGGGCCTCGGCATCTTCCATGCAGTTCATGCCCATGGCGTACAGCCCGAGGATGGTGTGCAGCTGAGGCATGTGATTGTTTGCAATGGCTGGGTGGGAGAGGAGTTGCTGGGCCATGGTATGCGTCTCCTGGATCGCCAGCGCCTTGTGCCCCATCACGAGCCGACACATCACCAGGTGCTCGAGGAGCATCACGTGGAAGGTCGTCAGGATCGGACGCGTGTCCAGAACTGCACGGGTGATGTTAAGATGCTTACAATAATTCAGTTTACTTGCCAGAGCATGAAAACCCAAAATAATAGTAAATGGTTAATTAGTGTACAGAGAAATTAACAGCAGAACACCAAAAAGAAAGTGCATCATCTAAATAAAATAAGCAACTGTAAAGTTAATAAAAGGAACCACATGAGCTCATCTGCAGTCCCATTGCAGCAAAACATGAAGCAATGCAACCAGCCATAGAAACAGAATATACTCAAGCCTTCCTGAATCCCCATCTCATTACAATATTAAAAAGATACAGGAGCCCTGGGGAAACATTTCATGCACAGAAGAGAAAACCAAACAATGGCCTTTCTTGTCTGGCTCTCAATCATTTTTCTTATCGTGGAGGATTGAAGGGAAAGGTGTGAGTCTCACTCTTGAGCTTCTCCACTTGCATGAGCCCCTTCTCAGCATACTTCTGTGCCTTGTCCATGTACCCAGCCTGCATGTGATGGGCCACGGTGACGAGATAGACGAGGACGCAGAGGTGGTCCCGGGGCAGCCACATGAAGTTGTCCCCCGCGTTGCTGCCGAGCAGCTCCGCCTCGTCGGCCAGCCATTCCGGCTGCGACATCGTCTGGATGCTCTGGTGCAACTGCTTCAGATATGGTTTCAGGCTCTTCACATGCCCGCGCAGCAGGTAGTGGCAGACCTGGAGAAAAAAAAAACAGATGAGGGCAATGCAAAATGTACAAGAAGAGCATGCTTTCCTAGACTCACCTGAAGAATGAGATAGAAGACCCTGAGATATTCCTTCTGGGGAGCATTTCCGCTCCAGTTTTCGACGAGTACCCCCGCCTGACCCAGGAGACCCCTCACCTCCTCGTCCGGTCGCCTTTCGATGATCAGCAGCTGGGAGAAAAAATCCACAAATGCAAAATTGAAAATTCATTTCACATTCTTCATCACCTTACAGATATAAATACCACAGCATATAAGAAACCATCAAATCAGTACTGAAGCAATAATAAGGAAACACTTCAACTGCTTTGAATCCCTTACCATAGCCTTGCTGAGCATGAAGAGGATCCTGGTATACCCAGCCCCAGAGAAGTTGGCATATTCAACTCCCACTTCCAACAGGCCCAATGCCGACTGGTAATCTCGCTCTTTCATGTGTATTTGCTAGAAAGGAAACAGAAGAGCACCAACATCATCTCCCGTCATGCATGGATCCAGACGTGTTCGGATGCGTCGTCTCTCACCGCGAGCTGGAAGAGAAGTCGGCAATGCCAATAGATGGCCTGCTGGGAGATCTCGATGGCCTTGCGAAGGATGGGCTTGGCGTAGTCGATCTGGCCCTGTTGCTCGTAAAGGCCTGCCAGCAGGCTGGCGGCTTCAAACTTCACGTCGTCGAATCCTGCCAGTGACTGCGAGAGAGTCCACTGGAACATGCCAAAGTAGAAAACAATACACCCATGATGAAATAACCAGGAAGTAGAATGATTATCATTGATTATTGAGCAGGACTCATTAATTTAGCTAGGCCTATGTCTTCACAAAACGAAACTATTCCTTAGCCCTTGGTATCTACATCACCTGATGTTAGTGGCTGGCACATAGCCTAATAAGTCACTGCAGACTAACCTCTAAGTATTAATTTTGTGACTACTGATTACGGCAAGCAGGCAACAGAATTGACTCACGGCTTGCTCCAGATTCTGCCTGGCAATCTGAATGTTCTTCGTGTGCGTCAACAAAATGTTCCCCAGCTGCAGATACGTCCGGGCCTCCACCTTCGGCGGGGGCTTGAACGTGAACACAGCCTGAAGACACTGAATGCAGAGTCGAATGTTCGGCGGCGTCGAAGTCCGGAAATTCTCGGCCAGGCCCAACAGGGCCAAGTACCACGCATCCGTGGACGAAGCCATCGACGAACTCGAAATCGAAGAATTTTCACTCCTCCGAGCAAACGGAAGCTCCCCCTCTCGCACGGACTACGATAACCGCTTCGACCCTGCCATACAAACTCACAGATCGCAGCATCCAATGGATCTCACCGATGGAATGAGTGACGCCATTGCGTCGAGGCGGAGGCAGCGCTATCTATCCTCAGTTCAAAAAGACACAAAGTTCCCCGTTCTTATTGCAGATGACGCTCTACTTCACACCGCCCCATCGCTTATGTTCTTAGTGCACGGCCGCACTTGAAGAAGGAAGTGCAAAGTCCTGAAGTAAGCAATCAGCATCAGAAGATCGATTGATGGCTTATCCACCGGATAAGCCAAGGGATGTCTCATCCCTTGTGTTAGTCTTTACCGCAAGGGGAGGGGGGGGGGGGTTGGGGTTGGGGAAGAGTCTTTCATGAAGAAATTTGCTGAAGGGGTAATGAAATATTTTTACAGTTTGGGGGGTCCATGTTGGCCTGTCATTAATAAGAAATCCATCGTGGATGAGCCTGGGATGTCTTAAGTGGGAGGAGGAGGAAAACAAACAGTAGGAGCAAAAGGAACTTTTTCAAGCAGTGATTTCCATATTTTTTGCGGGAAGAAAGTGGCATTTCCAAGCAACACCGTACATTCAAAATTTATTTTTAAATTTTATAAAAATCAAACTGGAAAGAGCGGGGTCCAAGAGCCACAAGTCAGTCGAAGAGCCACAAGTCAGTCGAAGCACTGAACGATGAAGCACGGCCGCCTCGCGAAGGGCCTCGCCGCCTCGCGGCATCCTGCCGCCGGCTCCTCCGTCCTCCAGTCGATGCAGCGGACGAGGCGGGTCTGGTGGCCCCAGCCGCAGGAGCCGCCGGTGCACTCGCTCCAGTCGCCTACGTCCACGAAATATAATTCGTATCGATTCCGCATTTCCTTCATTTTTTGCTGGTTTTCCGCCTCACAGCGTCAGCTCCAACACAAAAAGCAAAACTCGACCTGCGATCCAGTCGACGCACGGCCTCCGATTGCACTCCGAGACGGATTCCGGCCTCGTCTTGGGATTACACCTCCCTCCACTCCGCCCTCCATTCTCCTCTCCACTCTCCCCTCCGCTCCGCCCTCCATTCTCCTCTCCACTCTGACCTCCACCCTGACCTTGACCCAGATCCGGGCATCGCACTTCCCTGCTCATCGTCCCTCCACCGCACGGCGAGGAACATCCCTCCCACTGACCCACCAGCCATTCCTCGCATCCCTCCTGAAAGAAATTCCCTTTCTCGATCGATCCATCGCCCCTTCCGTTCCATCCAATCGCTCTCGACGCGAGAGAAACTTAATATTTTTCAGCTGAAACTTGGCAGAAGTAGGAACTCAATGGTGGAAGAGGAGACACAGAATCGAATCAGAGGAATTTTCCATGCTCCAAGTCAAATAAATAAATTTAGAAATAAAGCAACGATGCCTCACGTGAAACAGTTCGTTTTCCCGGTACTATCAAGTACTACAGCACTGGGAAAGTACTTTTCCCATCTGAAAAAAGAAAAACCGATCGGGCACAGACCGTGTTGCAGGATTCCTCTTCGACCGGCTGATCCCCGCAGAGCCCAGCTTCCACGACGAGGCCCGTCCTCTCCTCCACGCACTCCACGCTCCTCGCCCTCACGCCCCCGTCGCACGGCATCGAACACTGAGACGTGGAACCTCACGTCACGTGACCGAGAAAAAAGAAAGAAAAAGCGAAGAGGGTACCTGGGACCAGTCGCCGACGACCCAACCGAAGACGGGGTCGAAGGTCGTCTCGTCTTCGGCGCTCCCTTTCTTCTTCTTGTCCTTGAGCACATAAAGGTCGTAGAGGCGGGCAGCGTCCTCTCCGTGGAGGATGTTCGGGTCGTCGCCGAGCATCACGCCGTCCAAGATGCGAATGTCCCCAGGAATAATCTGTGAAGAAAATATTCATATAATATGAAAAATGAATAATAAAAAATTAGGAAAACAAGGAAAACATGGAAAATTAATAAAATCATTAAAATGAAAAAATTGGTAATTCTTGTAAATTTCTGTCCAAAGGTCATCCAAGGTCATCAAGACGCTCACGCTCACCTGATATGACCTCATTTCCGCTTACGATGGTGCCAGGTTTCTCTCAGAAGAGAATCACCTCTGAAGATAACCAGTGACTAACTCCGGTTACCGTTTGAGAAAAACGGAGATAAACACATATAAATGCAAGTGGATACCTTTTTTTCGGGGCTGACTGGACGGTCGGTTCGCTGCCTCGTCACATAATCAGGTAACGAAACGGTAAGATGAAATGGCAAGGTGAAATGGTAAGATGAAATGGCAAAATGAAACGGGGGAAATGAATTGATTAATTAAATTAAAATAAATTTTAACATGATTTCCGAGTGAGATACCTTGTCCTCGATGACGTCATTGGGCCTGAGCAAGTCTTCTGCGCGTTCTTCCGTCAGATCCACGACGACCACGGTCCGGTTGGTCTCTGTCGGTGAGGTGGGGGTGGCTGGGGTGGCCGGGGTGGCCGGGGTGGTCGCGACCTGCTCGTCAGGGCATCTCTCGACGGAGCAAGGCCGGATGCTCGCCGGTCGGGATGACGCCTGGCACCGGGATCCGTTTTGGCAGGTCACCAGGCGGAATTGCACGCCGCCGCCGCACGTCGCGGAACACTGACGTCACATTGGCGAAATTTTTTGCAGAAAATTTTTTAAATTTCTATGATAATGCAATAAATGTAAAAGGTTACCTGGGACCAGTCGCCGTGGGCCCAGTGGCCGCAGGACGTGTTCGCGTCGCACGGGCGCCAGGCCGTGGGGCGAAGTCGCGGGTCGCAGACGCCGTGGTCCAGGCCGCACCACACTTCCCGCGACGATCCGTCGCAGGGGTCGTCGCCGCATTCCTGGGGGATTCCGGGAAATTTCGCATGAAATGGGATCCAAAGTCAATTTTCGAAAGCATTCTTTGCTTGAAAAAAATTATTATATTATTTACAATTAATATTTAAAAAAAAAAGAAATAAAAAATTGGAAGAAAATTTGAGGTCGAATCAAAACATTTCTAAATCAAGGATGCTTGTAGCATTCGAGAACGACAGGCAAACTGCGCACATGCCAGACACGTTCACTGCACATTGCCTTCGAGATGTTAGCCGGATTTGCGCGGGATGGGAAGTAGGGATTGACCCCGGTACTGACCCCGGTCCAAGGCGAGGCGATCCATCCGCCGGTGCCGGGACAGGGCATGCGGTCCTTCCCGCAGGACTCGGTCTCCGGCGGCCGCGGGGTTCCGAGGCACGTCCGGTCCTCCAGGGCGACCATGCCTCCTCCCTCGCCCTCGCCCTCGCCCTCGCCCTCGCCCTCGCCCTGGACGCAGATGACAGACCTCCGTCTCGTTCCCAGGCCTCCGCACGTCTGACTGCATGGCTGCCACTCGCCCACCCACCACCTGAGAGAACATGAAGACTTCGGCAAATCTCAATTCGGCAAGATTTTTGGGATGCGTCCAAGACAGTAAATTAAATTCATCTGAGGCCTTTGCGAATATAACATTCGCTTAATAAAAAAATTCTGAAGTGCTCCAGCCGACGAAAACACAATTAGACACGATAGCCAACCTCAACCGACGAGCCCCGCCCCCCGTCCCCTGTCCCCGCCCCCCTCCCTCCCCCTTGACACTCGCAGCTTCATGCAAAACGCGCAGCCTTGAGTGCGGGCTGGTCGGACTGCCTCGAGGTCGAGCGGGCCAGGGGCTCCGCAGGGGACTTTAATCCTTTAGGCCCGATTTAACCTCTAAACCGGTTGGGTTGCATCCGGCTTTGCTATTTATTTTCCTATTTAGTGCTTTCATATAGCTCAATTTTCGTCCAGTAAGAAAAGATTCCAGACGAATTCATCTGCTTACGAGAACTAATCTCTTTGCCCTGGAGAAGAATTGAATTGAATTGAATTGAATTGCTTTTTATTTTCATGGATTCTGGTCGCCAGACAACTCGCAAAAATTACAGCCCAAGAAAATACAACAACAAAAAAAACAAAGATTATGTATTAAGTCAATGACTTAATACATCATTTCTGTCTCTTTTAGACAGAAATACATACAAAAAAGATTTTTGAAACTTGGATGTGTTGGCTTTGGGATGGCGAATTTACCATTTCTGGTAACGGGACCACTCCGTTGTCCGATGGCATTTTGTATGTCTGGTCTCAAAGGATGATTTTCACTCCTTGAAATGCGCATGGCCAGGGCAGTACCTAGAGAATTTACCTTCTCGACAAAATTGGTAACACGGACCTTGCCGTTCATGTTGGATACAGCGGGCAGTCAAATCCTCATTTCCTCGGTCAAATATCCAGCATAGATCGGTAGGGCGTATAATAAACAAGACAAGATGCAGTATTCCACGAAGTCCGCTACTGCTTGATTGGAGTTACGAACATTCCTGAGAAGACGAACCGCGAATACCGATCTCGAGAAGCATTTCTTGTAGAAATGCTTCCGCCATTCCTCAGGGACCTTTTTCTTTGATTTGAAGACTATTTCCACAGATTTTGTTGGGTTCAAAATCAAACCGGAGTTTTTCCGACCAGGTTTGAACGTGATCGATTTCTCGTTGATATGCCGTTAGATCTTCTTTGTTGTTGATGAATGTATCGTCCGCATATTTTAAGATGATGCAGTTTTTTTTTTGCAAAATAATAAAATTGAGGAAACAGAATCCCGCCCTGAACTACTCCTGTGACCGTACTTTGAGCATCGGAATTCTTCTTACCCAATTTGACATTCTGAGTGTCGTCTGAGTGTTCACCACTAGTTCGAGCAAGCTTCTTGGAACCTAAGTCTACGAATGATGTCTCCCCGGTTGATGCAGTTGAATGCCGAAGTGTAGTCGAGAAATAATGCTCGAACAACCCTTGTAGTCCTGTCGTCTTGAGCTTTCACTACATGATGGAGTCGCAACGGCATCAGATGTACTGCAAGATTTGCGGTATGCAAACTGATTTTGATCCCTGGAATTTGAATCTATCGTTTCTTGGAGCTCATCTAGTATCATGT